CCTGAAAATATAAATTATTTTCTTGATTTTAATAAAGTACATTTTTATTTGAACATATTAGGTATACGTAGCATGGCCATACCTAATAATATTTGTTATGTTCGTTCAATCGTAATAATTAATATTATGAACGGCGAAATCGCATATTATGCCTCGCCGGCTCACCTCTGTTTAAAGCATTTTTAAATTAAAAAAAAAAAATGTTAGATATTCTAGGCACAACGCTGATGCACTTTGGTAGATTTGCATAATAATGCTTACTGTACAAATTATTTATTTTCGTTTACGATGTAACACTAAAAGTAAATTCGATTTTGATTTATAAAGAAATAATAATATTTCGAGTAGCGCTTTAGCCCTTCCGAAGAAATTATTTATTATATATATATATATTTATTTTTTGAATGATATTTAAAACTGAATTAAACATAAATGTTACATTTATTTGCAGAGAAAACTCGGATCAAGTTACTACTAAATGAAGCTATTAAAAACGATCCAGCATTTTGTCCAAACCGTTGCGGTCGGTCATATAAAGGTTCGGATCGCAAAGGCAATCTCAAAAAACATATGATTTATTCGTGTAACGTTAACGACCCACGTTTCCGGTGTAAATTTTGTCAAAAACAGCTCAGACACAAACGATCTTTAGAATATCACGTTGTAACTTTTCACCAGCAAACCATCGCTAAATATTAATACTTAGGTTTATACACCTATTATATTACCTATATGTAACATGGTGTATGTAAATGTATATAATATGTAATAAATCATGTATGATATTTTAAACACGTTGATAAATAAAATATACTATGGCATCATTATCGTTATTGGTAACACATAACACATATATAATGCAGCAAAATGAACTATAATTATTTTGAAGATCCTATGATAGAACAAAAAGACATTTTGTGTTTATACTGTCAAGTTAAATTTAATTTTTTTATTTTAACCGGTTAAATTGCTTTAAAATTTAATTTATCGCGTAGCCTCTATTATGTTTGTAAACTATTTTTGATATTACCATTTTAATAGTAAAGTTAGTTTAGAAATCGATTTGAATTGGATACCTATTTTATAACCATTTATTGAAAGAGATATATTAAATTATTTTTTATTCCGTCCATAATGTTATTCTGCGTTATTTTCAGTATATAACTTAATTTAACCCCGTGTATTCCTTATATAATAAACGTAATATGCCCTAGCTATGAGACATATTATTGAAATGCTATTTATCCTTTAATCCATATTTATTCCTCACCGTTTCCCAGCGACTGGTGGCCCATGGACTCATATCGTCATACATATTATAAATAAATATAGTATTTAAGTGATCTACGAGATGAAATTTCAATTATCAGATAGTTAAAACAATTTAAATTATTCAGTGTTCATAATAATATAATATTACAAAATTACGGGTTTTGATATATGTAATTAGACTCGATTGTTATTATTAATACAAATGCGAATTATTTTTATCAAGTTTTGTCTTCGAAATCTTTTTTAATCAATGTATTGGACATTTATACAATAGGTACTACTAAGTACTGTACTAAGAATGTACTACTAAGAACAATAAAATATTATTCTTATAAGAAAAAATACGGGCATACTTCGCACGTGGGTGGCCTACTGTTGTAGGTGAGAAATTGGGAAGGTAGTAGAGGGAAAATTGAATGTATATCTGTATGCAACGATTAACCATTGCTAACGAAAAACAATTCTGAGCGGAGTGCGGTTGATAGTGTTTCTTTTTCAACAATATATTATGGTAAAATAATTATATGAAATGCATTATATATTTTCTTTAATAATATTTGTTTAATAATGTTCCTATTTTTCCGTTTTCCTACGTTTCTCCCGGTTTTCCCATATTTTTCTCAGCTATCGGGAAAACTCATGGGACAATAAAAAAATGACTTCGATAAAGTACCACCCCAATTAGATTTACTTTCAGAAAAAGTGCTATCATTGTCAATCGAAGCAAAATTTCAGGTAGAATAGTTGTCCACAAAAAACAAAATAAAATAATAAACGTCATTGTAAAACCAATACATTTCTCACTCCACTCAGAATCTAAAATATGTAAAAAAAAAAAATAGTCCGCTTTGAATAAATGCGAATTATTTACATTTGCTTTTTTAATTATTATTTTTATGATCTTGTATTATTGTAGTTAATACTTTAGTCATATACCAAGGAAATTGTATATTTTAATAATATATCCGCATTATAAACCGTGTATATTAAACCAATAATAATATAATAATGTTTCTTAAAACAATACAAATTATATATTTACAGATAATGCCATATTGCTGGAGTCTCTGAATAAGGCCAGCGAAAATGATCCAGCATTTTGTCCGAAAGGCTGTGGTCGTTATTACACAGGTACATGGCGCAAACAAGCCCTCAGAAACCATATGGTGTATACTTGTGGCGTTCACCCGAAATTCGAATGTATTATATGTCATAAACAGTTCAGATATAAGCGATCATTACAGTATCATCTAGGCAACTGTCATTAATGCTCACTTATACTAACTATACAATGTTTGCTGAGAGAATAAGAATGCACAGAAACGAGAATCCACTGCAACATCACCTATTGACTACGAGCCGCCTATCAAAACACTACCGCCTGTGCCGTATCTATCAGCACTGGCGGTTATACAGCACGTTGCTAAACTTCACTGTTTATGACAACATTTCGTACTCGACAGTCTACAATTTATTACACATCTGATTTTGATATAATAATATTTTCTTATTATGGGTATTATTAATATTTTATAATTTTAAATATTACTATTTTATATAATACTATCGAACTAACCCAAGAGCTAATTAGTGCATTATGTTATCAGTTTTCTCACAGATTAAATGAAACCAGACTGTGCATTCGGCCTTATAGAACAATACAATCGTAAATAAGGTGCTCTGATTGGTTGCACTTAAAGTGGCGTATCCAGTTACACTAGTGAATTATATTGTATGCTTCAATTACAATTTATTGTAACAATATATTGAAATTCACATGTAGTAACATGTAGTAACACCATTTTTACGCATGGTACAATTATAGAATCAATTTTTTTTCGAATGCACAATCTGGTTTCATTTAATTTGTGATTTGCTCGCAGAAAGCTATAGATAACTGATAATTCAGTCGTATGAGAGTCACATTCCAATTCTCTCGGTGAACAAAGTATATTATGTATTAATAAATAAAGAAATGCTATAACCACAGGATTTGTACAGTTTTAAATGTATTTAATAATACCCTTTAAATAAAATATTTAGTAAACTATTTGGGGCTTTTTTTCGGTTCTTTCTAAAATACTACTACTACGATATTACCTACTCATTACTAAGTCTTGCTAATCCATATCGTTTTTTTTTTTTTTTTTTTTTTTTTTTATACGTATTTCGTCAATTTAAATAACACTGATTATAATTAATGTAATGTTATATTTACAGATCACTACACAATCAACTTAAATAAGGCAATCGAAAAAGACCGAGCATTCTGCCCAAGTAATTGCAGTTAGTCATATAAAGGTACATATCGCAAACACAATATCAAAAGACATTATATGATTTATACACATGGGTATAAATCCCCAACTGAAATGTATAATAATATACCATAACCCATACAGATGTAAACGGATGTTGCAATATCATATTTTTTTTTTTTTTATTAATCGTCGCCATTCGGAGGTTTAACATTATGGAGTTAACAATTCAAATCTACAAAAAAATTGATTTACAGTTTAATACATGAATAATAAGGCGTATGTCCTAGGTACAAATTTTATAGGTAATTAATAACTATTGTTTTGACTTACTTATTAGTTAAGGACATCTTTCTGTACCATATAGTAAATGCTCACCAACAAAACTTTGTATTAATAAATTAATAAAGGAATATTTCAAATTTGATGCAGTTTTAAATATATTAAAACCCTTTTCATAAAATATTAAGCCAACTATTTAGGGGTTTTCAGCCAATATACTGTTTACGATATTGTTTTACTTGACATTATAGTTGTATTTTGTTGATTTAAATAAAATTATTTACAATTATTTTAGGTAACACTAAATTTACAGATCACACTACCAATCTAAATAAGGCTATTAAAACTAACTCAATATTCTGCCCAATAGGTTGTGGTTCGATTGTATAAAGGTCCAGAGTGCAAACACAATCTCAAACAAATATGATTTATTATGTGTGTCAGTGATTTAAATGTATTATTTGCTTTAAAAAAATGTTCTTGTATACACATATATAAGGTCACATCCACATTGAATAGGTCAATGTATACTCTATACAATCTATACTCACCAGAACTTCGTACCAGAAGTTTTATACTGAACTGATTTTAATATCGCAAAATTCTTGTATAAAATTATAAAATATTAACTTATGACAATTTAAATCTATTTCCCAAAATTGACTTTATAAAGATACAGAATTTAAATACGATTATTTCTATGCATTAATTGAATGTTTAATTAACTGTTGTAATGTATGTTTTGCCAATAAAAGCTCAGGCATTCAAACATTCAACACAAACTCATACATTTTTATTTCCAGAAAAACAGTTTTAAATTATAATATACATTATAATTATGTTAACTTAAAAATGTAAGTTAGTTGGTATTTATTATCAATTGACCTTGTCAATATACTGTATCATAATTAAATACTTAATTAAATTACCTTAATTAAATAAATAACTGCATGCTTCATTTTAGGTTTAATGAAGTAAGGAAATCATTTAACAAACATAAATTGAATGTTATATTAATTAAATCTTATTGTTTTGACCCTAAATAATATCTGTGCAATGTGCATTGAAATATCCATGTATTTGCTATACATATATGTGTTAAATTCTATAGTATATGCCCTATATTGAGGTGTTTGAATCAAGTTTATATTAAATAAATACCAAAATATTGTATTTCCAGAGAATGCCATGATTAAGCTACTGAATGAAGCTTGTAAAAAGGATCCAGCATTTTGTCCAAACAGTTGTGGTCGATCATATAAAGGTGTACAGCGTAAAGGCAATCTCAAACACCATATGATTTATGCTTGTGGTGTTAACCCACAATTCAAATGTATATTTTGCTACAAACAGCTCAGACAAAATCGATCTTTAAAATATCATATGGCCACTGTTCATAACCAATTTTCCACTTAAAAAAATGTGTATAATTTATTCTTGTAAACCTCTATATTATTTTTTGAATTATAGAGACATATTTTTAAATGGAAAAATATACCGTGTTGACTATTATCCTTGTCAAAGTAACACAGCAAACATGTTACTTTCATTTAAATCAAAACAACCTTACATTGATCAGTTTATACTTTATCAGAGATTGAATTAATGTGAATTAAATTCTGCTAATCTTTCCGTTTTGGCTTTTCCAATAGATTTGTTTACCATAATATTGATATCTATAATAAATATATACTATATTAGTACACCATATCTACACTATATGCACTGAGGTTCTAAATTTAATGTCTATAGAATAAATAATTAATAGTTAATAAAATATCTAAATCTTATAATTTCAAAAAATAACATGATCTAAATAAAGCTTGTAAAAAGGATCCAGCATTTTGTCCAAACAGTTGTGGTCGATCATATAAAGGTGTACAGCGTAAAGACAATCTCAAACACCATATGATTTATGCTTATAATTTGCTATATTTTGTCATAAACAGCTCAGACACAATCAATCCTAAAAATACTATATGGCCACTGTTCACAACCAATTTTCAACTTGATAAGATCATGTGTAACTTCTGTAATTTTTGTAATTCTCTATAATACATTTCAGTTAATTTATTATATATAATATATTTTTCAATTGGAGAATATACTTTGTTATTTATTATCCTTGTCAAGGTCATACAATAAAAATGTTACCATAATTTCAATTTCATTAACATTAATTGACATGTACATTGAATACTTTGTCGAAAATTGAATTGTCTATGAATTAAAATTTTCTTCTTTAACTTTTGTAATAAATTTGTCTACCATGATATCCAAATCTATATATGTTATGCTTTATGTATTGGTGTTTCAATTAATTTTCTATTTAATAAAAATAAAATAAAATACTTAGATATTTTATTTATAGAGAATAACATAATCAAGTTACTAAATGAAGCTAGTAAAGATGATCCAGCGTTTTGTCCGAATGGTTGTGGTCGATCATATAAAGGCATAAAGCGCAAAGGCAATCTCCATCAACACATGATTTATACGTGTGGTGTCAACCCACAATTTCAATGTGCAATTTGTCAAAAACAACTCAGATATTACAATTCATTAAAATATCATATGGCTACTGTTCACAATCAATTTTCAACTCGTCAAAATTATATGTAGCTTGTGTATGATTTGATTTTACTAACCTCTATATTATATTCTACCTAATATACATACATTTTTAAACAGAAGAATGTATTTTGTTATTTATTATCCTTATCAATGTAATTCAACAAAAATATTACCATCATTTCAATTAAATAGGCATCAATTGGTAAATTCATATTGCATACTTTATCAAAAATTAAATTGTCTGTGAATTAAACATGTATTCTTCGACTTTTGTAATAAATTTGTTTAGCATAATATCCAAATCTATAAATGTTATGCTATATGTAATATAAAATTTAATTTCTATAGAATAAAAAATAATATAAAATACTTGAATATTTTGTTTTCAGTGATCAACATCAATATAATTCTAAGGGGAACTTCTAAATATAATACAGAACTTTGTCCTAACGGGTGTGGTCGGTCATATAAAGGAATTTACCCCAAAATCATCTTAAACAACATTTTGTGTATGTTTGTGGTGTTAACCTACAATTCAAATGTACAATTTCCCAAAAACAATTCAGACATAACAAGTTGTTAAAATATTATATGGCTTCTGCTCACAAAGAAATGTTGACTAAACAAAATCCTGTCTAGCTTCTTCAAATAAAATGTATTTTTACTGTTCAATATTAATAAAGACACGTTTATTTTTTTTTTTTTATTTTTTTTTTTTACAGTAAAACAAATTATATTTTTTATATTTGTTGCACAACTTTAACCTCAATTTCAATTAAAAATTAATTTAAATTGATTGATGTGTAAACTGAATGATTTCATATCAATTTCAATGTGCTTTTGCCAAAAACAACTCTGACATAATTCTTCCTGAAATGAAGATAATTTAGTGGTGGAAAACTTTTCCATGTATAGGAAAATAATCACATGAAGTTATACTAATAATATTATAATTATATCATTGTAATGCTGAAAATCTAATATTGTAACAAATTGTATCATGAAATGTCATTGGTATAACTTCACTTGTAGTTTTTACTCAATCTAACTTAAATACTTAACTAAACAAATATTTTATATGTAACTCATAACATCAACAATGCTTAAATGCTTAATAAATTAATAAATTAATATTATATCCATTAATACTCAGCAGATAATCTTTTGAAAATATTATCCACTGACATAACTAATATTATGTACTGAAGGTTAATCTGATTTTCAATTAAATCGTAATAAAATAAAATTCCTGAATATTATATTTACAGAGAATAACATGATCGAGTTGTTAAATGAAGCTATTGAAAATGACCCAGCATTATGTCCAAACGGTTGTGGCCGTTCATATAAAGGTATATACCGCAAACAGAGTCTCAAACATCATATGATTTATGTGTGTGGCGTTAATCCACAATTCAAATGTACATTTTGCAAAAAACAGCTCAGACATTACAAATCATTAAAATATCATATGGTTACTGTTCACAAACAATTTTCTTCACAACAAAATTTTCCATGAGTGAAATGTATTTTAAAAATTGTTATAAAATATTTTAATTAATAAAGATTTGTTTTTTTCTTTTTTATGTTAGAAAACACTTTATGATCATTTCTTTATGTCAATGTATCACAAAACTAAAAGTTAGCCCTAAATTAAATCAAAATGCATTCTATTTATACTTGCATGATTGATTACCGGTTTAATTATTTATTTATTGATTTAAGTTACTAATAAAATCAAATTATCTAAATACTAAATTAGTTATATGCAAAATAAACTTTATTGCTTTGACCTTTATGATTAATGCACTAAAATATCCATACACTTATACATATTTCATTCTACATAATATGTATTGAAGTTAAAATTGTAATTTTAGTGAATGAAAACTAATCATTAAAATCACTTATTTTTATATTTTCAGAGAATATTATAATCAAGTTACTAAATGTGGCTATTAGGAGTGATCCAGCATATTGTCCGAACGGTTGTGGTCGTTCATATAAAGGTTTATACCGTAAACAAAATCTTAAACATCATTTGATTTATGGATGTGGTGTTGACCCACAATTCAAATGTACAATTTGCCAAAAAAGGCTAAGAAAAAGCCAGACTTTAAAATATCATATGGCCACAGCTCACAACCAAATTTCAACTTAACAAAATCATATTCAATTCCAGTGTGTATATCTGTAAGAATTATTTATCAATAGTATTCTGAGCGGACCGAGAAATGCATTGGTGTTACAATGATGTTTTAAGAATGATCTTTTTTTTTTTTATGTGAACACTTTCTACCAGAAAACTTACTCCAGTTATCAAGTATAGCCCTTTTTCTAAAAGGAAATGTTCTCTAGATGGTACTTTAGAGAGATCATTTTTTTTGGAATTCATTAGTATTCGAAATTATGAGGAAAACCTGGTACTTAAGCTTTAAAAAGATTGAAAGAATAAAAATAAGGTTGTCATTGACAACCATTTTTATTTATTTATTATTATTATTAAGTTTTTATAATTTTGGTAATTTTTAAATAATTATTTTTGTCATGGAAACACACATTGTTGTAATCATTGTACCATTATATTATATATTTATGGTTGACAAAGCAACACTATCAACTGAACTCCGCTCAGAATCGTTTTTTGTTAGCAATGGTTTATTGTTGCTTACAGGTATACATTCAATTTTTGTCTGTATTCTACCTTCCCAACTGTACATCTACAACAGTGGTTGCATCCATGTGCAAAGTATATACTGCTTTTTTATTAATAAATATAAGAAATTATTATATAACAAGAGAATATAGTTTATTATCAATTTTCAAAATAAATTTAATAATGTATAATACTTAATCATAATTTCAATTTACAACGCTTTAAATTTTTACTAGCATTATGCTTATTTAGTAAGTTATGTCAAATTTAAGTTAGTAAATCCATATAAAAAATGAAAGCTCAATATTTTAAAAATAAACTGATGCTTCAACTCCTCCAAATAAATTTTGCATCCAAATATCCACGCACCTAAACATATTTTATACAGTATATTGAGGCCTGAATTTTATTTCTATTGAAAGATAACTAATTAATAATTGACCACCTGATTTTTATATTTTCAGACATTAAGCTATACAAGTTACTAAGTGTTGCTATTGAAAATGATCCAGCATATTGTCCAAACGGCTGTGGTCGTTCATATAAAGGTTTATATCGCAAACAAAATCTCAAACATCATTTGATTTATGGATGTGGTGTTGACCCACAGTTCAAATGTACAATTTGCCAAAAAAAGTTAAGAAAAAACCAGAGTTTAAAATATCATATGGCCTCAGCTCACAGCCAAATTTCGACTTAATAATATCGAGTTCGTCTCCTGTATGTAAATTCTATATTATATATAATTGTATATAAAATCTCCTATATTACTTGCATATTTGAATTTTTGAATATTTCCGTATAACAATTTGTTAATAAATACAATTTATTAAAGTAATACCTACCGTATTAACATATTTAGCTATATATTTTTTTCATTAACAAAAAGCAACAAAATATCTTACCTTTATTTTAAGGAAATGTAATAAATAAAACTAAATTTTATGTAGCAAAAACTTCAATGATTGGACGAAAATTTGTACAGCAAAATATCCTAAGTCCTATATATTATATTTTATACTAGAGATTGAAATATATTTTTATTAAAATCAAATTAAATTAAATAGGTGTCTGAATATTACATTTTCAGATAAAATCATCAACGAGTTAGTAAATAATTTTTCTAAATATGATCCAACATTTTGTCCTAATGATTGTAGCCGATCATATAAAGGAATATACCACAAAAGCCATCTTAAAGAGCATTTGATTTATGCAAGGGGCATTAACCCACAATTTAATTGTAAATTTTACCAAAACAGCTCAGACATAGCAAATCGTTAAAAAACCATATGGCTACTGCTCACAGCCACTATTCAATTTAACAAAAATGTTTAATGTATAATGTATTTTTTTTCAAATATATTTCTGTATTGTGTTTATTTTAATACAGACAAATTTGTATTGTACAGTAGAAGAAGAAGATACCTAATTATAAATTATTTTCTTTAATGTAATCCTTTAATATCATACTTATACTCACAAATGTGGACTTAAAAAAATATGTAAAATATGTATTTTAAATTGTTATATACGATTTAAATTAATAAAGAAAAGTATTTTTAAAACCGGTAAAACAAGTCTTATTATTCATAATTCATAAAACTAAAATTAAGGACTTTAGCCCTTACAATTTATTTGTATGTGTATGTATAATACAATATATTGTATACTTTGTACTGAAGTTTGAGTTTTATTTTTATTAAAATTTGTATTAAATTTTTTATTATTATATTTTCAGGCAGAAACATGAATAAGTTAATTAATGAAGCTTCTAAATATGATCCAGCATTTTGTCCAAATGGCTGTGGTCGATCGTATAGAGGTGTACGGCGCAAAGGCAATCTCAAACACCATTTGATTTATTCGTGTGGGGTTGATCCACAGTTCAAATGTCCATTATGCAAAAAACTACTTACACAAAAACAATCATTAAATTATCATTTAGCCACTGTTCACAAACAATTTTTAACTCGACAAAATTGAGTGTAGCTTTTATGAGTATTATTTGTCTATAAATTATATTTTTATCAATAAGGCAAGTTTGTATAGTGAAACTGTAGAACTTCATAACCCCTGTATCACCATATATTTGTTAGATTAATAAAAGTAATTATTGTTATAGTAGAATATAATAATATATTATTATCAATTGTATGTATTTATTAACAAACGCAGCAAAATACTTAACAGTGATTAATCATAATTCAGAATACTTCAATTCTCTTAGAGAATTACAATACACGTAAATGTATAATTTAAACATTAAGTTATTATGATACATAAACATTATAGCGCTTTAGTCAGGTCAATGGTTTTTTTTTTTTTTAATTGTATTAATATCGAAATGAAAACTAATTAAAATAAAACTATCTGGATATTATGTTTACAGAGAACTACATGAACGGGCTATTAAATGAAGCTATTAGAAATGATCCGGCATTATGTCCAAACGGTTGTGGTCGATCATATAAAGGAATACACCGCAAAGGCATTCTTAAACACCATTTGATTTATACATGTGGTGTTAACCCACAATTCAAGTGTATAATTTGCAAAAAACAATTCAGACGTAACCAGTCTTTAAAATATCATATGGCTTCTGTTCACAATCAAATATAGATTTAACAAAATCCAATGTAACTTCTTCAAATAAAATGTATTTTTACAGTTCAGTATATTAGATTTCAATTAATAATGAAGACACGTTTGTTTTATTTTTTTAAACAGTAAAACAAACTTTATTATTTAATATTTGCCTCACCTTCAGTCAGACCTGATGATTCCCGAGTGACACGATACGTTTGAGGCCAAAAGAGTGTCTAAAATAATCAGGACTAACTACCGGGAAACTTTCTATAGGGAACTGCGGCATAATCAGCTCCGCGGGTCGATCCTTAGCTAATGCAGACCTGGACGGTGCTGGAGTAGGCTCAGGTTGTGTCACCCACGAACACCTGATGTAAGTATATCCGGGTTCAGATTCCCTGTGATTACTAAGCCGTTACGTGAGCAGGACTCACCGTGAGATGTTCTTTAAACTCACTTAAATAACGATGGGTCTCAGCTGTTTTAACCAGTTCCTCCACAGGATCGCCTGTGTGCTTCCACTGTGAATTACCTAACCTTTACGCCGTAAGGAGGACGATTTGCTCCACACTCACATTCGCTGCGAAGCGTTCAATAGTGAACGGGAACATATCGTTCATGTGATTAGAACCTTCGACCCGGGTGGACTAGGCCCGACAACGCTGAAAAACCCGGACAACTCAAAAGTATTCCTATGTGGCGTATGTAATGCCGGTTTAAAAAAAAAAAGAGAGACTAAGTATATAATAACAGCATACTTGCTTAAAATTTAAACTTAAAATGTTGAATTTAAGTTAAATAATTAATTTAATAAACCCAAACTTAGTTTTATGTAAAATGAACATTAATACCTTGATCCTTTCAATTAACGTAAACACTGACATATGCATGTTTATATATTTTATGCTGCGCAGTGAGACTTAAATTGTGTTTGTATTAAATTAAACACTTTGTTATTAAATTTCCAGACAATCACATGAACCAGTTAGTCAATGAAGCCTCTAAATACGATCCAGCAATTTGTCTAAACCATTGTGGTCAATCAAATAAAAGTATACAGCACAAAGACCATCTGAAATACCATTTAATTTATGTGTATGGTGTTACCCCACAATTCAAATGTACAATTTGCCAAAAACAACTACGACAACGTCAGAATTTAAATTATCATATGGCTATTGCTCACAGCCTACTCCCGATTGAATAAAGTTGTGTTTAACTCTTATGATGATTTCTCTTTTTATTTGTATTCTTGTTACATTTTGATAAATAAAGATAAGTTTTTATTGTACAACTATGCAACATTGTTTATTATAAATTTTCCTCATTAATTTAATATCGTAGAATACTTGAATAATAAATCTTATTTTAAATTTATAAGGCTTTAAGTATATACTTACAGTGGGCTTGCTTTGATTCGTTCAATTAGTGTACCAATTCATTTATCTCTATTTTATATTATGAAGTGACTACTGAGACTTAAATTTTATTTGCATTATATTTAATACTCGGTTATTAAATTTTCAGATAACCACATGAACCAGTTAGTCAATGAAGCTTCTAAGTACGATCCAGCAGTTTGTCCAAACCGTTGTGGCCGTTCCTATAGAGGTATACAACGCAAAGGTCATCTGAAACAGCATTTGATTTATACGTGTGGTGTTGACCCACAATTCAAGTGTACGATTTGCCAAAAACAGTTAAGGAATCTTCAAAGTTTAAAATATCATATGGCCACTGCTCACGGAAAACTTCCTATTTAATAAAGTCATGTTAAACTCATAATATAATGATTTCTCTTTTTAATGCATATTCTTATAATATTTTAATTACCTAATAAAAAAAGTTTTTATTATACAACTGTAAAACATTGTTTATTATCAATTTCCCTCATAATTTTATACCATAGAATACTAGAATAATTAATCATAATTTAAATTATATAAGACTTTAATTATATATTAACAGTATACTTGCTTAAAATTTTAACTTATAATATTGAATTTAAGTAAAATAATAATTTAATAAACAAAATAGATTCTGTATGAAATAAATTTTAACGCTTTAATCCTTTTAATTTATGTACACATTGAAATATGTATGTATCTCTATTTTATTTTATGTAGTAGACTTAAATTTTATTTGAATTACATTAAATACTTGGCTATTAAATTTTCAGACAATTACATGAACCAGTTAGTCAATGAAGCTTCTAAATACGATCCAGCAATTTGTCCAAACCTTTGTGGTCGTTCCTATAAAGGTATAAAGTGCAAAGGTCAACTGAAACAACACTTGGTTTACACATGTGGCGTTAACCCACAATTCAAATGTACAATTTGTCAAAAACCACTACGAAAACGTCAGAGTTTAAATTATCATATGGCCACTGTTCACAACCTACTTCTGACTTAATAAAGTCATGTTTAACTACTATATTATACATCTTAATAAAATAAGTTTTTATAATAGAACCATACAGCCTAGTTTATTATTAATTTAAATCATTAATTTTATTACTGCAAACTACTTAATTATAATCTCAATTTAAAAAACTTTAAGTTGATTTTAACAATGTGCTTGCTTAATAGCTTATGCCAAATTTAAATTAATGATTTCATTTAAGAAACTCAGTTTTTTGTGAAATAACATTTGCCAAAAATAACTCAGACATAACAAGTCGTTAAAATATTTTATGACTTCTGCTCAAAACCAAATGTCGACTTAATAAACTCCTGTGTAACTTCTTCAAATAAAAACATGTTTTTTTTTTGTTTAAACATTCATACAAATTGTAATATTTTGTACTTGTTGCATGAATTTCAACTCATTTTCAATTTAAAATATGTATATACTGTTTAAATTGAATTCAAGTTAAAAAAAAATCTGTTATAAATAAAAACTTAGTTTTATGCAACTTCTAAATACAATACAGCATTTTGTTCCAACAGCTGTGATCGATTTTGTGCAACGGTATACAACACAAAGTTCATTTTTTAACACCATTTATAGATTAGGTATGTCATTAGTGTTAACCTATGGTTCAAATACACATTATGCAAATAAAAATATTGATATCTTTTAAAAATTGTTGGTAGAAAAGTTGAACATAGGAAAAAATGGCCATAATATTTTTAGCTAAAACCTACATTTCTTACATTTTTTGGTTTTTCACATTTGTTAAGAAAACTCCGGAGAAAATCGAAAAACTTCTTCTTTAAGGTACCTCCTCACACCAATTTCCTGTTGCTATGCGTAATAATCTGAGCATGTATTCTGGTGGAAAAGTTGTCCACAGAAAAAAAAAACATCTTTGTAAACTATAAGCTTCTTCGCTCCACTCAGAATCTAAAATATATACCTGTAATAGGTTTGCTTAATTTGTTTAATCAAATCTCATTAAAAAAATTAATTTAATAAATATAAATTCAACTTCATGTGAAATAATCATTAATATTTTATTTTACCATTCGATTAATTTGTGCATCAAAATGCCCATGTTAATATGTCCTATCAACTTATATACGCATAATATGAACTAAGGTTTAATTGTATTTCTATTAAATGAAAATTAAATTAATTATATGATAGTGATATTTTCAGAGATTTACATCCACGAGTTTTTAAAAGAAACTTCTAAATACAATTCAACATTTTGTCCACAAACTATGGTCGATCTTATAAAGGTGTATGACACAAAAGTAATCTCAAACACCATTTGATTTATTCATGTGGTGTTGATTCCTAGTTCAAATGCCCATTATGTGAAAAACTGCTGATACAAAAACATTATTTAATATATCATATGACGAATTTTCAACTCGATAAAATCATATCTAACTTCTATATAATTTATTTTTGTAAATCTCTATATTGCATTTTAGTAAATATATTACATTAACAGTAGGTTCGCAATCAATTTTTGATTCAACAAAATCGAATATAGCTTCTGTATTTCTAATATACTTATAGATATCTTCATATAATATTTTTTATTTATAAAGATAGGTTTTTATAGACAATTTGTCACAGCAAAATACTCCTAATATCAATTCAAGTTTTCTGCAATTAAACCTTTAACCTTTTTACCGCTTTGACCGTTTCAGTTGATTTCTGCACCACAATATCCATTTCTAAGGAGTTAAAATTAAATAAAATTATCTGTATATTATATTTACAGAGAATAACAATATGATCAAGATACTGAATGAAGCTATTGAAAATGACCCAGCATTATGTCCCAACGGTTGTGGCCATTCATATAAAGGTATATACCGCAAACGCAATCTCAAACATCATATGATTTATGTGTGTGGCGTTAATCCACAATTCAAATGTACATTTTGCAAAAAACAGCTCAGACATAATCGATCTTTAAAACTTCATATGTACACTGTTCACAACCATTGGCTGACTCAAGGGAACGGTGTATAGCTTTTGTCATGACTGCGGAGCCCAGTTTTCTTAATTGTACACACTGCCACCTTGGACTAAATCGATAACATCGAGAAGTGAATTATAAAACTGCGGTGACTTAGTGATTTTGTGTCAGCATTCTGGCGTTGAGTCGCGGGTTCATAATGTGCACTGTGATTTAATTTTTTTTTTTATTAACTATCAATGTGTTTTCAATAATCGTGATCACGTCATCCCGTGGTCGCGTCATTTATATATGTATATAATTAATTTTTACAAATTTTTAGATTATATATTTATTAATAAAGACAATTAGTTGTAATATTTCATTATCCTTGTCAATGTTCACAGCATAATAGTTTGCATTTTGATTTCAATTCAAAAGGCTTTAGATTGATATTTGCATGCTTTATTATAGGTTATGAGTAGTAATGTTCAATTAAGAAAACCATATTAAATCATTAATTAAATTATCTATGAAATAAACATTGCCTACTTCTAATGTATTGCCCTGTCATTGGATTTATGCACCAAAATATCCATATTCATATATAAACTATATTATTTTAAATTTACTGAGTTTTTAATTGAATTTCTATTATTATTAACGATTAAATAAAATACCTGACTATTATAATTACAGAGAATAACATGATCAAGTTACTAAACGAAGCGACAGAAAAAGATCCAGCATATTGTCCAAACGGTTGTGGTCGATCGTACAAAGGTACAGACCGCAAACGCAACCTCAAAAAGCATATGATTTATGTGTGCGGCGTGAATCCGCAATTTCAATGTATAATCTGCTTTAAAAAATTTGCTCGTAAACACGCATTGAAGGTCCATTTATTATCTATACACAACCAGATTTTAAATTAATTAGTTTTTTTTATTTTGTAAATTTATTTGTTAAGTTGTCGTATATATGTAAAAAAAATGAATAAAAAAGAAAAAACGATTTAAATATCCTTTTACATACGTATATACGTACACACACCTCAATATACTCATTGATCCTAATATTATGGTTTATTTGTACATCATAAACCCACAATTTCCAAATAAATTTTGACAAAAACAGCTTGTTTAAAAAAATTAACTTTGTTAAAACACATTTACTAACTGTTCGTATGAATTTTTGTTTTTGCTAAAATAATTTGTGGGTTATCACACAATATATATTATCTATATTGTATGTAATACCTATTTACTAGCAGCAATTGTATGTTTTTTATTCGAAATATTAAAAAAAAAATTGTTTATTTCGAGAATACTAGAATTCCGTGACTTATCATTTATTTTCCTAGTTGATGAACACAAGAAAATATTTAAAAGTGATTAATCATAATTCAGAATACTTCAAATCCCTTTAAGAATTACAATAAAGGTTAATGTATACAAACCTTATAGCGCTTTGGTCATGTCAAGTTTTTTTTTTTTTTAATTTTATTTTATCCTAATAGAAATTAATTACAATTGCCTGGATATTATGTTTACAGAGAGCAACATACGCGAGTTATTAAATGAAGCTATTAAAAATGATCCGGCATTATGTCCAAACGGATGTGGTCGTTCATATAAAGGAATACACCGCAAAGGCATTCTCAAACACCATTTGATTTATGCGTGTGGCGTTAATCCACAATTTCAATGTACATTTTGTAAAAAACAATTTAAACATAATAAATCATTAAAATATCATTTGGCTACTGCACATAACCAATTGTCGGCTCCCCAAAATCGTGTGTAGCTTGTTTAATACAATGTGTCTAATTTATTTTCTTTCAATCTCTATACTATACTTTAGTTCAGTAATACAACATTTTTAACGTTATAACATACTTTGTTTTTTATTATCCTTTTTAATTTAACATAGCAAAAATAGTTACCTTCATCGGCTTCATTTCAATTTAAAACCAATTAGAATGTATGGTTTTTTTTTTAAAAAAAAAAATACGTTTTAGCGTATTTAGGGAGTAACTCCGTTTGGTTTTTTTACCTCGTATCCAAAGATAATCACAATTGGTGATTTTTCGGCAAGCTCGTGGGTAAGAAGGGAAAGGTGTTCAACCCCATTGTCACTATTCAAACACCAAGTGCTGTGTTGTTACACAAATTATGCTCCACTACCCTCCCTCTAGCCTAAACTTAAAAGTCGAGTGTCTCATGAACGAATTGATTGAAATCAAAAATTTCAACATCAACATTTATTTTACCTAATATTACATCTGTTTTTGGAATTTTTAATAAAAGTACTTGTTTGAAAAACCAAAGTTAATATCGCCACATAATACTCCTTACATTTTGTGAAAAATATAAGCGAAAATATCGTCTTTCACTGCACTTAAAAATTCCATAAATCAGAACTTAAATATGTTATAATACCGGGTGATCCATTTAAGCGAGTACACTCATTATCTCGAAAACTTTTATCGTAATTTGTTTTCTAAAACATTTAAGAAACGAGCAGATCTATAATTTTATATTTATGTTCTTTTTTGGAGGTAAAACCACTATTTACTTTTGATTTTCAAATAGCAACCTATATTGAAAATTCCATAAATAGATAGTTTATTATTTAAAATAAATTTGAGTATTAAAATGTTTTATTCATGTCAAGCCATTGACGAGATATTCCACTTTTAATTTTTGGTTGGAGGAGAGTTTTAGTGATGCATCATTAACACGCCGCGTACCATACAAATGATACCCCACTACTCTCCTTTAATCCAACCTTAAAGTGGAATGTCAATAGTTTGACAGAAATCAAAAATTTTAATACTTAATTAATTTTAACTTATAAGTTTATTATTTTAGTTTGCTATCAATTTATGGAGTTTTCAATATAGGTTGCCATTTTAAAATCAAAAGTAAGTAGTAGTTTTACCCACAAAAATAACATTAATATAAAATTGTAAAGCAGCTCGTTTCTAAAATGTTCTAGAAATCGAATTCCGAAAAAAGTTAATACTTTCCGAGATAATGAGTATACTTACTTAAATAGATCACCCCTAAAAATACCCTTAAAAATGAGAGGGACATGCTTAATGAATCACCTTGTACACCAAAAGTTAATCTAAATATTATACCATTTACTAATAATTTAAGAATTTGTTTGATATATTTTTTTTACCACCACCCCCTCCTCACTCCCATGAAGAAATCCTGCATACGAGCCTGTTTTCGATATTTGACGACTAAACAAGACAGTGGTTGATCTTATCATGATGTTCGTTAGAAGTTAGTAAGATAGAATGTAGAAGGGAATTTAATGTATTTTTGTGTGCAACGATTATCGTCAAAATTTAATATTAAAAAAATTATTAAAAAAAAAAAAAAAAAAAAAACCCATTGAACTCAACTTTTTCTTGTTGACCACTAAGTAAAACTTATAATGCACCTGCTGTTAAATTTTCAAATATTTCTGCTTGGTCTTACAATTTTATCCACAGTTAAATATTATGTAAAAAACTCTCAAAATTAATATGTTTATAAAAAAAAACTCAAAAATGGCTCAAATTTATATAAAAGGCAAATATGAGGTTTCTATTCAAATTTCAAGTTTCTACTAACATTTTTAACTGAATTACAACAAAAAAACGAAATTGAAAATAATAATAGTTTTATTTTTGTTAATTTTTCGATATTTCTCAATTACTTTGAAAACTTCTTGGAAAATCAAAAAATGATCACTCCAGGAAAATTTATTTTCATAAAAGGTGCTACACTTGAAAATTGGAGTAAGATTGTTGGTAGAATTTATAAAGTATAAAAAAATAAAATAATAAAAATATAAACATCGTTGTAAAACCAATACATTCCTCGAATCGCTTAGAATCCAGAATGATAAATATTCTCGAATTATAGTTATGTAACTCAATTTCGATCTGTTTACCAATGTACCTATATATTTTAAGTTTATAACGATTAAAATAATATAATTTTGTCTTCCTTAATCAGATATTACCGTCAATAATAATTATACAAATTTTTTTTTTCTGTTGTGTTATATTTATTTCACTAATATTACGATTATATTATTTATAATCCGTTTGACTGTGTTTTTTAAAATAGGTACTTTATAACTATTTGTTTTAGTTTTAAATTTTATTATATATAGCTACATAATTTTGAACTCTGTGTAATTGAGATTATAATATTATGATCACTATTTGATTGATTGAATGAATAAAATATTATGTCTCGTTTTAACATAGATATTTGAAATAGTATTGTAATTTCCTTACAGAACGTCAGTATTCCAGACTTTTTTCAATCAATCAATTTTTAATCCTTATAAATAATAACTAATGTAATGTTTTATTATTATTATTATATGTTTAAATAGTACACTAGTGTTTCTCAACCTGTTTACTGTCGCGACCCCCTAAATTAATATTTTATTTTTTAGCGACCCTTAAATATATATTTTATACATGACGACCCAATATTTTATTTTTTTGGCCACCTCAAAGGTTTCGCGACCTCCGGGTTGAGAAACACTGTATTACACTATTGTTATGTGCCCAATTATACAATATACTTATATAATATTATTAATTTAATTTGTATTAACCGTTATTTTCAGAATCGTTGCGCATATGGCTAAACCAACTCAATTGGATAACACAATTAGATCCGGCCAGTTGTCCGAATAATTGTGGTAAAATGTATAAAGGTCCGCACAGGAAAAGTCATCTCAGACAACATTTAGTATATGAATGCGGCGTCGTGCCGAAGTTTCAATGCAATTTTTGTTCAAAACGTTTTGCCAGAAAACCGCAATTGAAATGTCACTTGGTAACCGTACATAAAACAATAATCGATTAACGCATTCAAAATATGTGTGGTTCATCTATTTATCTTTGTGTTATTACTTATTATTATTATTATTATTATTTTCGATGAATAATGTATAAAACATTTTGAATTATGTACGAGAATCGTCTATTACAAGTAATTTACTGTGATTCAAAAAATAAAAATATATTCAATACTACTGATTTATGTATTTTAAATATTTATAAACATCTTATAAATTATACTTATTTTTATTAGTATTTTTTATTTATATATATATATACATATATAAGTAATGTCAAAATAATTAATATTCAATTAACTCATCAAGAATAATATTTATAAATGTACTCCATTACGAATACAATATAATACCTACAGTTATTACATTATTATATTTTATATGATGAATACTAAATGAAAAGTTGACAGAATGTGGTATATCTACAATTATAAATGAATCAATAAATAATATATTTTGAATAAAGTTGTATAGATTTTAAATTCATTATTTCTTATTTACGTTAATTAATGTTCTTTTTTTCAACGATTAGGGCTAATTACTGCACGTTTAGAAATTGTCATGATATTATTTTATAATGTGTTTGATAAAAATTAGTCAATTGTTTGCTTCACACTTTTATAGTAGCATGTGTGATGTGAAGCTTTTGTAATTTTTATGACCTACACATAATCGACATTTGTGAGGAAATTTATATAGTAACGAAGTAACAGAATAACAAAACAAAGTATTTAACATTGCATAATAATAATCATTTCAAAAGGTACTTAAGTAAAATGTTTTCTATCATTATAGCAGTATGCCCACGTAAAGTTTGCTTTTTCACTTTTTTTATTATTATTAGAACAATCACATTAATGCCGACATTTTGTTTTCTCTGCCCATTTCGCGCATTATAGTAAAGTATAGCAGCAAAGTGCTAATATTCCGCACTTCTTCTATTGTGACTTTTTAGTTAAGTTTAGGACAAACAGACCTATTATTAAATAGGTTAAATTAAATTATTAACTTTATAAAGGAAAGAATTTATTATGCCTTGACCTAATAATTTCTTTAATATTTTCATTTCTTAATAAGTTTTAATGATTAAAAATAAGAGAAATTAAAACACGCATGATAAAAAATAAAAATATTAAATAAACCATTCATCCAAACCGTATTAAATACTCCTTTTTATAAAATGTATTAAGGTCCCTTTACTCTAAACTCAACCAAAGAGTTACAATTGTAAAAGCGTGGAATACCTTTGTTACTATGTTGCACGTGAGACATACAGGGAAAACAAATGTAAGGCTGCTAGGAAAAACGATGATAGTCAATCGATTGTTAGAACGAAAATAGTAATCTTGTGCCAATTTGTCCTTGATTGACTTATTACACGCATCGAGTTAGGGAAAAAAGATCATGGTTCCTGATATATTAAACTTTTAAAAATAGATTTATGATGACAAAAATCATAATTCAAGAAATAACGGGGAAAAGTTCAATAATGAAATTTTTTGCAATATTGACTGTTATCGTTTATTTCTGCAACCCTGCAAATGTTAGTGTACTTACCGTCAACATATTACCTACTAAACTATCAAACTTTTGCATTTTTAGGATATTTTCCTCCTTATTCCGTGTGCCCCAATTATAATTGCGGTCGAGTGTATAGAGGCGAGTTTCAAAAACAACATTTAAAAAGGCATTTGAAGTACGAATGCGGAGTGCCACCGATGTTTCAATGTTCGGTGTGTTTAAAATATTTCACTAGGAATTCTACTATGAAAAACCATAAGTTAGCAATGCACAACATGATTAGTTAATGATTAAATTGCATTGTACGAGTACTTTCCGATTTAAATATAATACCTTCTCAAATGTACAACCTTATAATATAATTTGATGTTTATGCCTACTACTTATTAAACGCGTACGTATGTGTTGTTTGAAATATTTAAAAATTTGATTAAACAATATTATTGTGTACTATAACATATTTTTTTTTAATATTGTACGATTTTAATAAATATAATAATGATGTCCATTTATATATTTATAAATACATATATTTGCATTATTTGCTTTTTTTATTTTGTTTTGTTTTGTTTTATTGTTTTTTGATTTTTTTTTTTTTTTTTTTTTTTTTTGTATTGTACTTGTCATTACGTATAAGACATTGTTTTGTTACGAAAATGAAAATAATATTAAGGTGCCTAGACATCGTGAGATTTGGTCGGCCAGGACAGGATTAATTTGGTCGAGTGAGACGTCATAATATTAGCAGGTCGTGTGCACGACCGAAATCTTGTTAGGTCTGGTCACGACCATGGCTAACCGCTCGACTAAGGCTAACTGATAGCGTTTTCCATCTGACAATACACTAGTGTACACTACACGCAGTTAGTGATCCCATACTCGGCGAGTGTACCTGGTATTATATAGTTAATTCAATAAAAATTATCAAATTAAAGTACTGATAACATACAAAATACTACTCAAATGTAATCTAGGTACACCGTGAAAAATAATTAGTATTTTTTTTTTTTGCACTCGTGATAGGTAAGATTAGGTACACTGTCATAATATGTAATTATTGTTAACTACTGCACAATAGTACTGTAGACTAAATGTGTACACGAGTGCGGTCAGATTTAAAACGCTATGATTAAACCAGATTATAGTCAGTAGCGTAATCGTGTGATGCAATCCCAATTTTTCGACATTTTGATGTGTATAATGACAATATACGTTATGATCACTAACAGCGGAAGTAGACTGATTGTCCAACCAAATCGTGCGGCGGTGGTCGTGCTGCATATAAGACCTATACTACAATACTACGCCACTATACCTACCTGATTTGGCCAGACAAAATCATTAGCAGTGTATAGGCACCGTTAGAATATATTAAATATTTTAGTTTGGTAATATTGACATGATATTAATTACGTTTACGATTCGTTCTAACATATTGTATTATATTAATGTCTGAATGTCCTATATGTAGGTAAAACGGGTAACGAGCTGTTAGACTGGTGCGCGACGCCGGATCCTGCGATTTGTCCGAATGGTTGCGGTCATTTCTACAAAGGAATCAACAGGAAAAAGCTGTTGCGGCGACACATGGTCTATGAATGTGGTTCGCCGTCGCAGTTCGAGTGTCCTATTTGCGCAAAACGTTTCACACGAAAAGCGAATATGAAAACGCACGTGATTTCGATACACAACACGTTAATTTGACAATAATAATATTAATTTTTTTTAAAATGATTTGTGGCAATCTTCCGTACGCATTTATGTTATGTTTTTTCGGGATATGCTCGTGTAAAATTAATTTTTTTTTTTAAACGTAATGTTATCAACAAAAAATATCGATTTGACACAGCAAATTTAGCAAATTTCTAATTTTACGTTGAACAATTTCGCATTATATTGCAAATTTAATCTGCATATTTCGTATACTACTGCAGAAACAACGAGAATCCCGCAAACTATTCTTTCTTTCTTTTTTTCTTTTTTTTTATTAAACCCTCAAAAATATAGAATTATTTAATGTTAATTCAATATTTGTAATTTTAATAGCGTGTTGTAATTTATTTCTACAATGAAAATTGTTGATCAAATCGTGTGAAGTCATGTGTCTATGTTTTTTTTTATCCTTAAATAATGTGATGTTTTTTATTTATTTTTTTAAATATTATACCTAATAGTTATATTGTTTAATAATGTTACCTATTTTAATAAAAAAAAAAAAAAAAAAAAAACAATATTCCTAATATTATTATTTTTTAAGGAATAATGCACAAACGAATTGATACTGGTATTTTATAATCAAAAATATATCTAAATGTTTATCATTAAATAAATATGTATACTTGAATTTATTCTAATTTACTATTTTTTTTTATATATTTTTAGTGAAGATTACATTAAATCTATTCTACCTATTGGGAAACAAATTATTAACGTTAACGAAGAAGATACGTATACAAAAATATTATGCAATACGACTTGGCTAAACGGATTTGGGATTGAAATGTTCAAAAAAGTGATGAATAAAAAAATTTCAATAGGTACGAGAAAATAAACAATAATATAATTATTATAACGTTGCATTTAAATGTTGCATTAGTCGTAAATCAAAAAATAAAAAAAAAATGTTTACTTTATAATAATATGTTTTTTTATATGTTTCACGTATTTAATAAAGATAAAATCTTACAGATACAATATCTGAACTACTTGGTCGTTTTCAAATAATTATTATACACATTTGTGAGTCAAGGGTGATATGATACACATAATATGACTACCATCCTGAAACTTCTTTGCATGTTAAATCGGTTCCGATACCCAACTGAACAAACCAAAACAAATTATATTATATTCTTGAAAAAATTTAAAAGTTCAAAACAAAAAGTCGTTATCCCTGATTATTTTATAGCTCGACTCCTTGAATATTTCAACAATTTTATTCCATTGGCAGCTGTCATTCGATGTTTCGTCATAATTTCTATATATATATATATATATATATTTTTCTTCTAGATTGTAAGGGTGTAGTGGTTTAACTGTGGTGTGTGTGTTGAAACAGCTCGCTACAAATAAAATTAAAATACATTAATAAATTAACACATTTCCGTTAGCATTATCTATGGTCGGTGCATTAGTATATCAACTTCTTAATAATATGGATAAACTAACAACAAAATATAACTGTTAACTATGCCGGTTTTAGAAAAAATCTATGTAACTAAAATTGTGATAATACGAAGATGACAGATCAACATCTCAAAATCGAATTTCAAAAAACACAGAAACCAGTCATAAACGAACTTTTCTATGAATAGTTTCTTGTTTGCAATAATTTATCGGTTGCTTTCATTAATGGAAACTAAATAAGCCTACATCCTATGCTTAATACAACTCCCCGGTTGCAACAGTGGCCGGCATCCATGAACACTATAAGTTCTTGTATTTTGATTAATTTAAATTTGTTTATAGATTGCTACACAATAGCTGAAAATCGTCGGATTTATTGCCCGAACAGATGTGGCCGTGGTTATATAGGACATCACAGGAAGACCAATCTTAATAGGCATTTAAGGTTTGAATGTGGAGTCGAACCAAAGTTCAAATGTCATGTCTGTCAAAAACGATTCAGTTTAAAATCAAATTTAAAACAACATGTCATACTTGTTCATAATTTAGTTATTTAATTATAATTTATTAATAGAGCGTGGATGTTTATGACTGCATTTTGTTCGCGCTATCAGAAGTATACTCGAGTATGGTACAAACTTATTTCGCATTTTTTTGCATATACTAATTATTTATAGATTATTTAGCATATATTTTATAAATTATAAATATGATATAAAAAATTATTCTTATCATTATCAATTATCGTCTTTAATTATTTTTAAGAGTAAGACCCACATACATAGATACTTATAAACCAGCAGCGTGATGGGTTTTACTTTTACCTATGAGTTTACAAAATTACGACGCGTTTAATATTAAATATTATATTTGTTGACATTCAATATTTAATTGTGGTTGTTTGTTGCAGTTTGCATGTTCCTCACTTTTTTTTTTAAATATATACTAACAAAATGCCGAAAATTTCGTTGAGTAGTTTTCTGAAGGAATTTAGGGATCATAAATTATTTAAGATCGGTGGTAAAATATTATTTTGCAAATTCTATGAAGTTAAAGTATCTGTAACTAAACGATTTTTAATAACTCAACTCATAAAAACTGCAAAGCATGAGCATGCGGTAAATCAAAGAAGAAGACTAACAATTTCAATAGCTGTGTATTTTGTAATAAATTAATTTTAAATACACATTTAAAAGAATATATATTTATTTAATTAATACTAACCTTTTTTTTCACACACTTGTTTAAAAAATAGATACATTTATTATTATATTTAATGGCATATAATTGCATATTTTAATAAAATGTTGGTTATTAACATCCGAGCTCTATTAGTCATGTACCGCTAAATTCTACACTAGCTTAGCGAACACGTTCAAGAATTAATTTATGGTAGTGCGTCCACTGTATCAATGTATCTACAGCTATCGAATTTGCCGACGCGACAGCCATTTTCAGTCAGATTTTTTAAAATGACATTCGCATTTTCGTAGAAAGTGGATAAACAGAAACTATGTGTACGAAACAAAATGGAAATTGATGAGGAGGAACTAGTTGTGGTTGCTTATTTGTTCACAGAAAAAAAAAGAAAAAACATGACAATATTATATTCAAGGAAAACTTATTATATAAGTAATTTTAAAATCCGTTTGATATGAGGTGAATCTATGAACGCTTGCCTTAAGCGTTCAGATTTTAAAATTACGTAACTACTATCAATGCAGTCCCAACTTAGAGCGGATCTTGGAATAAGATAAGGGATGTGTTAAAAAACAAAATCACTTTTCATATGCTTTAAAAATTAATTTTTAATACAAGTTATAATTTATATATTTAGTATAATAATTATTTTTAAAGAACATGGTAAGGGATGTTTCAGCCCCGATACCCTCCTCCCCTTGTATCCACCTTTAATTTCGATGTGCTAAATCTGGTATCTAATTATAGTGGTAGCATTTTGTTCTCTTCTTTATTAGTAGCAATGTATAGACATTATGAAATGATCACCACCTAGATCAGTGGTTTTCAACCTTTTAAGAATCACAAATTAATTATTTAGGTTATCAAAAATAAACAAATATTTGATCACCGTATATAAAATATATATTTAAGAATCATTAAAAATTAAATATTTATATAGGGAGTCGTGATAGTAAACAATTTAAGAAACACTGATCTAAATCATAGATGTCATATTAAGTTCTGTGTATATTATATTGTTTTTTTGTGGGGTAATCTACAACAACCAATTGGAGGCATGTATCCAGGAGGGGGGGTCAGGGATCTGACTCCTCCAACCCGAAATTTAAGCTTCTCGCCAAAAATCAGATTATTGGTAATCCCCTCACCCCCACCATCAAAAAAAAAAAAAATCCTAGCTACGTGTCTTGCTCATTGCATTATTTGTTATTACTTAATTTTTATGGTTTGTGAAAATGGTACATAGTAATAATGATTTGTTACGTTGAACTATTCAACAGAAGGTTAACATTTAGCGAAACATGAAACAACACCCCTGAGTTACTCATATTTTTGTTTCTTTCTTTATGTATATATTTCATTTTTATTTTTACTTGCTAATGAATAATAATTATATGCAATGTATGACCGATCTTATAATACTTATCGATTATACAATTGATTGTACAAAATACCATTAATAAAAAAAATTATGCATGTACTTTTATTCCGAGTATATTTATTTAATATAATCACAGTATACTTAGTACAAGACGTATACATGTCTCAATAGATCGAAATTATATAATATGCATAATATAATTAATATTTAATGTACCCCGGGTGATCCATTTAAGTGGGTACACTTATTATCTCGGAAAGTAGGTATTAACTTTTTTAGGAATTTGTTTTCTAAAACAATTAAGAAACAAGGAGCTCTACAATTTTATATTATTTTATGTCACTCGTATTTTTGTACCTACTTTTGATTTTCAAATGGCCACTTATATTGAAAAATCCATAAATAGGTGGAGTATTAGTTAAAATAAATTCTAATGTTAAAATTTTTTATTTCTGTTAAGCTGTTGACGAGATATTCGACTTTTAAGATTTGGTCGGGGAAGGTTCATTTATGTAGCGATAGAGCGTGCGGCGTGTTAATAATGCACCATTACTCACTCCCTATATTTTTAATATAGGTTGCCATTTGAAAATCAAAAGTAGGTAGTGATTTTACCCCCAAAAATAAGGGTGACAAAAAAATAACATAAATATAAAAATGTAAACCTGCTTGTTTCTTAATTGTTCCAGAAAACGAATTCCGGAAAAGTTAATACTTTCAGAGATAATAAGTGTATCCACTTAAATGGATCACCTGGTATCATGTGTCTAAGGTAATTTATTTTTAATCTATTTATCATTAATTTTTTCTTTTGCTTTTTATTATTATTGCACGTTTGTGTATGCTTCTTATCATCATTATACGAAATTCATACGCTAAACGATCTCATAACATATACATTTTTTTTTTTAATTCTTATATTTTAGAATACTGGTTAGCAAACTTGGATTTCCTTGCCAAAGAAGATCCGGCGAAATGCCCGAAAAATTGCGGTCGTAGTTATAAAGGTACCCATAGAAAGAAGGTCTTGCGGCGCCATTTGGTATACGAGTGCGGTGTAGAACGAAAATTCATGTGTACTATTTGTTATAGACGTTTTTCACAAAAGTATTATTTGTCCACTCATATGGGTACTGTACATAGAGTACCGATGGCAGCGCCGATTTTAGGATTATCGAGGCCCGGAACGGGACAACTTTACGAGGCTCTTCCACCCTAACCCGCAACCTCAGAGCTTATATTCACCACCATATACATTTCCTAAACAATATCATAAAAATGGTCGTATATCACCTAACATCAAACGCTCATACGTTTAATAGTTTTGTGGTTTTCAATAGCATACAAATATTTAATTCGTTGTGCACACTTCAATAAGAAAATCTATCTATAATACTTAATAATTATATTTACTAAAATACTATAAGTAAATCAAAAATTTAAAGCACCTACTCGTTTATCATTTAATTAACGGTATAGTATCCACTTAAAAGCGGTTCTGACTAATTAATTAGTACATTTTATAATCAGTTTGTTTTATTATTATAACGATTTATCAATTACACAGCGAGCATCGTTTCCCGAATAAAAAACTTATTATTAATGTTAATAATATCAAAATCATATCTTCTAGATCTACCCTATACTCACTAGTAAATTGACTTTTCTACCATGGATTATTTCTTTTTGCCATGCATACGCAGTGAGAACTGATTGTATATTTTATTGGTGAATGATACAGAAGTTTCACGACGCTTGATAATCAATATAGCCTATCAAGTATCCTATTATGATAAAATATTATCTGTGCCCTACAAACACCTATGGGCGGAATGGAACGCGTAATCCGAGTCCAAAATAATCAGACAAGTATTATCATTTGTTAAACTGAGTCCAAGCAGCTATAGTTGATTTCACGAAAAGTGACCCTCGACAGTAGCGCGGTTGATGAACATTTTAAAACATGTGTCAAACAAATGTATTCACCCATCTGTTGTTTTGTAGTTATCTACCGGCTTTCTACTGGCCAATGTTAAGAACCACTGTTTTTCAGAAATCGCGTAATCAGCCGCGATACCGTCGTGGGCCACTTTTCGTAAATTCAGCTATAGTTTAAACATGTTAGGTAAATTGAGTCTGATAAATTTAAATGTGATAACCGGTAGGCAATCAGTCACTGTACCTAACTGTAAATTAGCTACGAGTGGTCAATCGTACAATACCGTATGACCACTCGCCTACAGTATGTTTCCGTTAACTTCATTTATTAAATATTAAGTATTAAGTATCTTTATAGTATGAGTGTGAAATGTGAATAAAAATGTACCCAAATATTCATATTTCTTTCTTTTAAACATGACTCAATTTACCACTCCGTGAACTGAACTGTATCCCTTTTTATGTAGGTATTATTATAACATTGCTGTTTCTATATACCTAATTATTATGTTTTTATTAATTACTTACCAAAAAAAAAAAAAAAAAATTGTAAGGTCTAATTATATAATATTATGTTATGTAAAAAAAAAAATGATTTTTGTTAAGTATAAATACAAATTGAATTGTTATTTATTTGTTATTTTTTTTTTTTTTTTTTTTTTTTTTTTTTTACTATTCGATGTCAAAAAAAAATATATATATATTATAATGTAATAAAATATTAGGTATAATAAATTACAATTATTATTGTACATTGTGCCTAAGAATCCTTCATAATAAAATGTATAATTTATATATCTTGTATTTTCCTTCACGTAATTTGAAATTATTTTATTAGCTGCAGCTGTCTATTGGTATTTGGTACATAATATAACACATATTACTGGTATTTTTTTTTACTATTAAAGTTTAAATACAATATTATCATAATATACATTTTTAAATATTCTGTATAATAATACAATATAATTTAGTGTCATGTATATAATACTAACAGTATTATATTCCATCCGTTTGAACGGTATCAAATACACATTTGTAATAAGTATAGCTACATAGGAATTAGACAACCCCTCCCCCCGATAAACAAACTTGGTTTGAATGCGTGTATAATACAATCCAACTTGTGTACTAATACTCTATACTTGAACAGGAAACATTCCAATAACCAAATAACGATATTGGTAAACGTGAATTATTCCTAATTATTACAAAAACACGGTCACTATTTATTTTGTACTATCTGTTATTTAAAACACGGAACGTGGACACTTAGTAGATACCATTATATACATAATACATATTATAGTACTGGGGCGGCCGAACTTGTTTTGGTATAGATCTACTAAGAATATATGTTTTCCTTGAGGATCGACTTCTTTATAAAAATGTATTATTATATAAATTACCTAATAGGTATTAATAAAACAAATAATAAAACTAAAACATCTATTTATAATAAAATAATAATATTCATCTATTATTAAGACTAATATAATATTATTATAAATACATTTGTCAGTATAAACGCTGTCGAATTATGCAACTTGATAAATTGACAACAAAATAATGATAATATATTAAGATAAAAAAGATCAGCAATTGTGATTTATGTACTAAATACATAAAAATAAATTCTAACAAAAGGGAGATCGACATTTAAACCGTCCGCGGTCTACCGGTCGATTGCGATCGACCATTTGACCACACCTGATATAGTTTAATGTACATTTTACTATACATAGTATATGCAGTGTGTTCGACGGATTTTTCTAGCGCTGCTAATATTAAATTTTTTTCAATCGGACATCTTGTTGGAGAAAAATTACATTTTTATTTATTCACTTTAGAAAATGTTCAAAATATCCAGTTTGTAAAAAATATTATTCTTAAAATTTTATTGTATCGTACATTCATATCCGATTAATAGTTTCTTAATTATAGCCGTTTCTTAATTGCTAGAAAATAGGCGTGAAAATAGTTAATATTCAATAGAAGGTAAAAAATTACGCCGTGCCGATTGTGATTCCTTATCGCATAACGTGTTATTTTATTAAATATTAATTATTGTCACATCTGTTTTCTAGAAATTAAAACGGCTATAACTAAGAAATTGTCCATCATATATATATATATATATGTGTGTGTGTGATAAATTAAAATTATTTAAGTTACATTTAAAATAGCCATTTTAAAAATGTTTTAAAGTGAATAAATAAAAATTTAATTTTCAAATCGATGTCCCCCTTGAAGACAAACCGATTAAAAAAAAAAACGATAAAAATTACTAATAGCGCTAGAAAAATTGGTTGTTTTAACAGGGACAAAAAATAATTACAGACTATGAACTTTTAGCTGTAGTTTTTAGTTTTTTTTTTTTTTTTGTAACATCTTAACTTGTTGGATATTATTATTTGAACAATTTACTTTAATTTTTATTTTGTACCTGGCTATATAATATATTAACTTTTCTGAACATTTTTTTATTTAAACAATATTTTCTTTAATTTTAAACATGACTTATGTATAACAACTTTTATGAAAATATTATTTAATATTTTTTTATAATTTTATATGTATACAATAAATAATAATAGTACGAAGTGTCCACGTTCTGCGTTCTACCCTTTTACCCGACGGTACAATGTGCCCGCGTCCCGTGTTTTTCATGCTCGACCGTATAAAATGACTTATAGAACCATACATTATATTACATATTTTCATTTGTTTATAATAAATAATATAGTATTTATGTATTTTCCAGAATATTTGTACATGTAAGTCGAATTCATCTTATTATCCAATACAGTTAATGATATATATTATGCATATTCGTCCGTTGGTAATACAATAATATATTATTTCACGGGGGATTATTCAGCACACGGTGAGGGGTGGATCGAAACCCTTATCCACTTTCTGACAAAACATTTTTACTGTAAAATATAATTTCTTGCAATCATTACGTTTACGAAATAATATCGTGTTTATCTAAAATAGTTTTTTTTTTCAGATTTATCAGAACGGCTACCGTTATCGTACCTATGAGTATTGTTCGTGTCCGGGCTGCCGCAGAAGCTGTAGGAGAAAATATTGTCTCTTGCACTAGTATTTTTTTTTTTTTTTTCTATAGTGCGATAAACTGCAGATGTGCAAATGTGTCCGTATTGTACGAGAACGTGTTCGTATGATTACAATTTAAAAAAAAAAAACACATCGCGTCGGTTAACCATTTTATTTCAATACAAAATACTGAGAAATTGACAAATACTTTATTATTCAAAATAATTATTTTATTTTGTGCATTTCGTAATTACACCGATTATAAATTACAATACATTATGTCAATAGAAAAACGTGTCTAAGTTCAAGTGGATTTTCTCATGAATTCTCTTAGCGCGCAAAAAGATATACATATTAAAATATGTTCATTAGATTGTGTGGTAGGTAAGTACCTAAAATTTGATAGTTTATAATATTATATAAATTATATATAGTTACATATACATTATACACAGTTAGTAACCGTGGTTATAACTTACACAATTGAAATTGTCCTAATGTATAACCATAACCAATAACTATAGTGGAATGGTATTTGTAACAACTATACGAAATGAGGTAAGTAAAACATTTCCATAGTTATTTACCACGTTTACGTCATATTCGTTTTTCAGATATCATCGATTTAAAAATAAAAACTAATAAAAGTTAAATAATTATTTCCACACAAGGTGTATTTGGACGGTAATATCCGACAGTCGCTGTTGCATTAGTCACTGTCGTAGAACTGTCATGATGTAAATCATGCAATGGTAGTCGGTCGCATTATATATTTATGTTCTTCGCAAAATATATTGAACATATTTGTGTAAACTATAATAGGTATTCTTATTTTTATGGTGATCATTTACTAGGAAATTCAGCTTACTATACTAGGTACTGTAAATGTAATTGATAATTGCTTAATAATAATCGCTTCATTAGATATACTAATTATGTACTTAATAAGTATAACAGTATATATTCAACTCAAATCTCAATATGTTCAACATCAATTAAAATAAGTAATTAATTATAAACTTAAAAATGATGGCGTTCTAATTTTATTGACTGACATAGTTATTTGCCAAAACATAATACAACCCATATAAATTTCCGGTTGGTCAAACCCCCCAAACCCCTTCATATACAGCATAGCGTATGCGACCTTATGCAAGGGACATCGTCTTAATTTTGGACTTTGCACAAAAAAAATTCTACACACCACTGGCTAGTACATCTGTATAACTAAATAACTAATGTAATAAAACGATTCTATACGATCTCATAATAATATACGTTCTGCCGTGGAAATAGAAAACGTAATACATGAAATCTATTGTCGATGTCTGTGATTCGCCCAATTCACGATACTTCAAGTACCAGGAAAACGTACAAGTGTCAAGCCAAGTTAAGTGAACTAGATAAAAAAAACCTCGATGTAATATAAAGTGTTTGTAACGTTAAAATGACATTGCGTATTCCGCTAACGCTTAATTACTACGCGCAAACACTTAAAATTACTGTATAAAATAATCGCATTTGTTATTAAACAAATTATATACACATCAATATCAATATTTTAATATAATATATCATTTGATTTAAATAATTACAAATCATTTGGGTTAGAACCATTGTTAATTGGTATTGCTATGTATTACAAAATAAATTCCGTGAATCTTTTTAAATTAATACAAATTATGTTTACTATAGATTATGGCGCAATTGGAAATATCCATCGGACTCTTTGCCCAAACAATTGTGGTCGCAGTTATAACAGAAAGTACAATCTAAACAGGCATTTAATGTTTGAATGTGGAGTAAAACCAAAGTTTCAATGTTATTTTTGTCAACGACGATTCACGCGAAAAGCAGCTATGCAACAACACGTCGCAATTATTCACAATTCAATTATTTGATTATATTATCATGCAATCTATGCAATCTTATACATGTATAAAATAAGAGTACATAGACAAATACATCTAGGTAGAGCATTAGTACCGTGTAGTAGTGGACAGGGTGATCGCCTCCTTTCCTTGGGCCGTGTTTCTTACATAATTCTTATATTCTACAATTGTTTATATAATATATATATTTTTTTTTTTTTTTCAATAAAAGCAACTCCCCTTCTAACCTAATCACCTCAGGATTCGCCACTAGGGTCGGGTTTTCGATACCTGATATATGACCATTGTAACTGAGATGTAAAAGTGAACAAAATTTTAGGATAGCCAATTAAAATACTAATTTTTTTTTTTTATATATTTAGTTCTCGCGAACAGCTCTATCCACTTTTACGCGTTATGTTCCGTCTAAATATATAAGTCTATTTTGATATATAACACAGACACGTATATAAGGTTAATCCACCCCAACATTTTAAAAACGAATAATATATTACTTCTATAATTTATAATGTTTAATTGGTTTTATATATAAAACTTCCCTGATCCCGATTATTTTTTTCCGTGTACATGCCTAAAATAACACAATAAACAAACATGCCATTAACAGATAGACACGATAATTGCCGACAGAGTAGGAGATATATTATGTTAAACCTAAATCATGTCTGTTTTATATATCAATTAATTAACTCAAACCATATTAATATATCAACTATTTTTTCAATTAAAAATGACTTTTGTACTCTTTGGCCCTTCCAAAACACTTTGTAAGTAGTCTACCTACAGTAGCTACCTATAATATTTGTGTAATAAATAATAATATTATTAATTAGTAATAGTTATTGTTTATAAGTTATAACATGAAAAATATTTTAACACATATAGTAAAAATTAAATATCAAATTTTCTATAGAAAGGTATACCTATAATCAGTTGTATACTCTAAAAAATGGGCTTACAAGCTACCCCCTCCCCCAGAGACTATTTTAAAATACAAACAAATAATATACACTAATATAAACTATTAATTCAGCAACCTATTACTAATAAAATAGGTAAGTATAATAATCTTTACACATTTGCACTACTAACTCAATTATAATTTTTAAGTATAAATAATTGTACTTCAAAAATTATGTTCTTAGCAAATTAACCTCCAAAAAAATGCTTTATATTATTTTAATGGATTAAAACATATTTTGCTTGCATTATTATATGTAATTTTAATTTACCATTTCCCTCCCGCCCCCGCCCCATTAAAAGATCCTAGGTACGCAACTGTCGATTATACTTATACATAGTTAAAACCAAAAATAGTTGTGTGCTTATACTAATAACATTGCAATCCTTATATCCTTAATCCTTATATTATGTTATCATTTAATTGCTCTATAAGTACCTACTTCAAACTGATTATAATAATATTATAATTTGATTGAAACCATCTACTACATTGCTATATTTTAAAATAAATTAAGTGTATTATTATGTAAATTAATAGAAACTATGTTTATTATAGATTATGGCAAAATTGAAAATAATCATCGGACATTTTGCCCAAACAATTGTGGTCGGAGTTATAACAGAAAAAACAATCTTAATAGGCATTTGAAGTTTGAATGTGGAGTCAAACCAAGATTTGAATGTCAATTTTGTCAAAAACGATTTACTCGAAAATCAACTCTGCAAGAACACCTTGTTGCTATTCACAAAACATTTCTTTGATTATTTTTTAAAACTAAAGTATCTCAAATTACAAATTTAGGTTGTAATTAGATAAATAAAAGTAATAAATTACTATATTTGATAACATAAGTTTAAACAAAAATAAAAAATTGTAAAATACACATATATGAGTGTAGTTTAGGTTTATTTTTGACTCTAATATATTTGTATATTAAAATTAACTTTTATTAATTACAGTTATAGTTTTATAATAAATTAACTTAACCATTTTAAAATAAATGGTTAATTTTCCACCATTTTTAATTTTTAACTACTATAATTAACACAGACCATACATTAAAGTATTATCAACTATTATATCAATTAAATATAACTTTGTATTCAGGTATTTTTGTCCATTTTGAAATACTACCAACAGTAAAATTTATTATTACATATTTTAACAGTGATAATTTAAAAAGAATTATATTTTTAAATTTTCTGTAGGTACTTAATTCCCATAGCGAATGATACAATCTCAAAGATTATTTAATATTTACAAGTAAAGTGGATTGACATATAATCATATTTGTCAGAAACAATTTACTTATCAATCATATTTAAATGTTTACCTTATAGCTTATATCTTTTATTCTACTCAATTATAATATTAGTATGAATTATTTAATAATAATAAAAAAACTTTTTTTGTTTTGTTTGAAATTGGTTTAAATTAAATACAGTTAATGCAGTTTTACATATAAGAATATCCAATACCTATTCGTATAATTTACATTAAAAACTCATTTAAATTTATAAAACAAAATATATTTTATTATATTAATTGTGTAACATATATATTATACTAATAAACAATTATTATTATTATTATTATTATAAAAATTAATAAACAACAGTAGTAAATCATTCAGTCCTTTATTTCATTACTTCAATAGTAAAAAACTTAAAGGAATGTATTGCTGCGAAGTATACCTTTTTTTATTTTTAGATTTTGTGTGCAAGGAGGCATGTATTAATTTACAATAATAAAACTAATATAAACATATATTTTGTACTTATTTTTCAGTCTTTTAACCAAAAGTCTTACTTTAATCTTCAAATATATTAAATTTACTGAAAGAAAATTCTATGTAGTAGTTACATTAAAAATGTAAATTTTATAATTTATTTAATAGTTTACATAATAATTAGAAAAAAAAAATCAAAAATTTAATAGGAGATACATCATGGTTTTTTATTTTGGAAAAAAAAATTAAATTAGATATATATTTTAATAGTTAATTTAAATTTTTGATGAAAATCAAAAAAAAAATGTGCTCAGAATTGTTTTTGAACAGTAATTTATTATTGTGTGATGCATACAGATCTAAATTAAATTACCTACTCTATATATCCTACCTTTTCAACTTTCCACCTACAACAGTGACACACCTATCAGCAGTATTGTCTCTTTTTTTATGTTCATATAATATGTTTAATTGTGTTTGTACATAATTATATCTTATAAAATAACAAATATTTTTGCAGATTTGGATATGATGAAACAAAATCATCAATTTCACTGTCCAAACAATTGTGGCCGTAGTTATAAAGGAGTAAGCGGAAAATCCAATCTTAAAAGGCATTTAATATGGGAATGTGGAGTGAAGCCACAATTCCAATGTAAAACTTGTCAAAAAAAATTCAATCATAAATCTAGTTTAAGAAAACACATCATATTTGTTCATAAAACCCTTATTTAGTTTTACATTATTACAATTTGTAACAACTTTATGTTAAACAGATAATTTTTATTTTATATATATATAGGTATTAGTTTGTTAATAGCTAATATGATTTGAGCACATACATCCAAATAAGTTTTATTTTATAAAATTTTCGTGGTTACCATAATTTTATAATATTTTCATATTTGTCAAAAACAATGCTCTCCTCAATAAAATTAAATTGTATACATTTTACATAATTTCTTTTATTTTACTAAATTATTATTAGAATTTATATAACAACAATTAAAAAAAATTCTATACCTATAAATTATTATTCCGCCATAAATTGATATTATTAATAATTTAATATCTATAATAAACTAATTCATTAAATTTTCTGTACCTATAGAAACATTTAAATGAAAGATGCTTGTATACTGCTATGATTTCAATTCTTGTAATATTTGCTTTATGCACATATTATTATGATATAAATATTATTGGTAGTACGTAGCCATGTAGGTTCCTATTTCAAACTAACTTAATTTTTAATGCATGCAAATCTAATTTCATAGTTAATTTAACACATACAAATGTGTTTAATGTTTTTTTTTTTATTTTAGCCACTTATCATATTAAAATAATTTTATTACTTTACCATAAAAAAAAGTAAATAAATATATAATGTTTAATATTTTTGTTTTTGCTCAATATTAAAATAAACACCTATCTAATATAATAAAAAAATTGTTTGCAGATTGTGATAAGATGAAAAAAAACTATCAGTTTCCCTGTCCGAACAATTGTGGTCGTAGTTATAAAGGATATATGGGGAAATACAATCTGAAAAGGCATTTAATGTTTGAATGTGGAGTGAAACCACAGTTCCAATGTGAAACTTGTCAAAAACAATTTACCCAGAAAACAAGTTTAAGAAAACACTGCATAATTGTTCACAAAACACTTATTTAGTTTTACATTTAAATAATTATTGTGGTTTTTTTAATAATTATATATAAAAAAAAAAACTATAATACCTGTATGCAGTGTTTAATCCAGATATATGTTAGGGGGCGATAGCCTCCCTCTCCCTAGAATTTTGTTATCCACCATGTTAAATGTGGGTAAATTAATAATTAATTAAATAATTAAACAAATTTGACTGGTCATAATAAGAGGCTAGATAAGCAAAAGCAAAAAAAAGGTCATGACTATTTATAATTTTAGTAATTCTCCCCTCCCTGAAAAATGGTCTGGATTCAACACTGCCTGTATGGTACCTGGACAATCAGTACATTTAAAAGTGACTCCATATTCATTGATGGCTTAAAGTGTAGTTAAAATAAATAAAAAACGAAAACATTTATCTTGTGCATATTGTGTGTATTATTTGGCAATAATGAATATGATACTATAAATAAGAAATATGCTATACAAATTAATCGAACAGGTAATACTTGTGCTAATGTCTAGATGCTTAATAAATTACATAGGTTACCTATGTAGTTGCATATATTACATTTTATTAATTTGGACACCATTTATCCAAATACCTTTTTATTTTAAAACGATTTATGTGCTTAATACTTATATTTGACAGCAGGGATGTACAGTATTTTAAATACCTACAGTAAATGTATGTTTGTATTTTGTATTGCGGTACAATTCTGGAAAGTATTGAATAGCTTTAACAAAAATACATTAATCAATGAAATTGATTTAAATAAATAGCCCAAGTAATCTTAAAAGATTTAGAATTTTCGCCCGGTTGTATATTACTGACATGAAACATATTTTTGGAAATTCTCAACAGTTTGCATTTTTTTTTTTTAGTTTTTTTAGTTAGTAAAAATGGTATTAATTATTTTTATTGTAGCTCAAAAGATGTCAATTTTTCAAACAGAAATACTTTATTTGAAAATGTTTTCTAGAAACTTAAAATATATGACATAAAATGGTGATAAATAAATACGTTAGTTTTATATCTATTGATTATTGACTACAAGAAAAAAACATTAATATTATAATCTAACCAGTTTACTAAATTCTGTTCAGAATCATTTATTATTTTATATTACAATGATTTATTGTAATTTTCAGTATGTATATTATAAACTCAATTAAACTATAAACTATAAGAAACATCCAAACTTCCTATCTAGAAGGCTTTTTTCTCTCTAAAAGTCCTCGGGGAGAGGGCATTAGCATTGCTAGGCGGAATTTCCAGTCAGATGGTAAAATGGCCTAATCAGACAACTACACGGCGTCTTCGATGACGACTAGCCACCGGATCTACAGCCATCTCGCTCCCTCGTCATCATGATTATAAATGTTGTTTACAGATTTGTATAAAGCTACAGAAAATGA